TTGCGGGGCGGGTGGTGGGTTGGCCACTCCAGGCCTCCCTGGAGGCTGGCCCTCACACACACAGCTGGCTGCAAACTGAGGCAGGAGGAGGAAGATGAAGGTGCACAGCTGAGCCGTGGAGAGATATGCCATAACCTGAATCTATAATATAAACAACTAACTAAAGTTGGATATTCGAAGTTCTTAAAAATCCACTAATTTTCTGTTAAAGTTGAACTGCTCAGATCTGTTGGCCAGCGTGACAGCCACCAACCAATTGGCAGTGTGGAACAGTTGGCTGCAGTTTAACTTTTGGGCAATATTGCCCATTGGCACGCAATCACACGTTAACATTGCTGTGTCGCCCACCTATCACTGCAGCACAGCTGTCACTGCAGCTAGTCTGTACCCTCGCAATCATGTATCTCTCCACTTTAACTCAGGGAGTATGACAGTGTGGTTTCTAGCCAAGTGTTCTTTGAAATCAGATTTTTTTTTTTCCCATGCTGCAGGGAGAACGGAGGTGAGGTGGTGTCTGTCACACAGTTATGTTGCAGAAAATGATCAACATTAACATTTGGTGTTAATGGCCACTGAGATACTTGGGGGGGAAGTGACAGGTGCAGCAACAATGTAAAGTCATTTCAGAGGGTCTGTGCTTGTCCTCTCTAACAGGATTTTCAGTCAGTGAATTGTTGAAGTTGGTGTTGTTTCAATCTTAAGGTGCAGTTTGTCAGGTTCCTCTATTCCAGGGGGAATTGAGAATGTGTATGAGACCTGAAACTAGCTTCTGATACTGCCTTGGCTTGAGACTTGGATTCTGTGGTAACATGGTTGCATGTGTTTCCTAAAGACAGTCCACTCTGGAGCTGTCTTTCATTTCAGGGAACTCCACCCTTGCTCTGTCACATTGCTATATTTTAGTATATATTAAGGAAGGACCTGGGATCGCCCTCTGTCACGCACTTGGGGTGAAGTAATCTGTCACTGATGGAGCTGCCCAGAGCAGTCAGGGTCTCATGCATGGGGTCATTGTCCAGCAGGGATGATAGCTTGGCTAACGCCCTCCTGTCACCCACCATCTGCACTGGGTCAAGGGGACTACCCAGGACAGACTGGCCCTTTTGAGCAGTCTGTTTTGACTATTCCTGTCTGTGGCCGTGAAGCTGCTGCGTCAGCAGACCACTCCATAGTAGATGGCTGATGCCAGTACTGTGCCGAAGAAGGTTCTCGGGAGTGTCCCCTGCACTCCAAACAACCGTAGTCTCCTCAACAGGCAGATCCTGCTCTGGCCTTTTTTGCAGAGTGCATAACTGTTTTTTAGCCAGTTCAGTCTATTGTTGAGGTGAACAGAAAGGGACGTATAAGAGTCCACTCTCTCAGTGTCCTTTTCCTGGAGGTTCACCAGTGTCAGAAGGCATGTGTGCACTTGTGGAAATGCACCACTAGCTCTTGATCTGGAGGCGGTTCTGCTGACACCAGTTGACAAATAAGGTGATTTAGACTAATGTTATTGGGCTGCTGTAATTTTGATATTCCAGGTCAGATGTGTCAACATAACTTCTTTTACTTCTTGTCCTAAACAGCTTGTGTCAAGCTAGCATTATTTTTGTCATTTGGTTCAGTTATAGTTGTGTTATATTAGCAATGCATCAGCTACACCTGGCTGTGAAAACTACACCTTTTAATGTAGTGATGCGTTAATCTCTCTCTGCTAAGCACTTATGTTATGTCTAGACTAAGTCTGAACTTTAGAAACTCCTCTGGACCTTAACCATGTATTCAGATCATGCCCACTATTGTGACCATCTT